TCAGCTTCAGCGCGAGCTTCGTTCTTTCAGCTTCTTCGCGGCGTGCTTTGATATCCACCCAGGCCTCATCGACTTCCTCCGCCGACACTCCCTCATCCTTCATGATCTCAAGGATCGCTTGCTTTCGTTTCGCACCGCCCAAAGTAATGCCGAGTTCCTCACAAATTTCGATGAGTTCCTTCACTTTAAGGTTCTCCATCGTTCACACTAGCCTCTTGCTGTTTGCCCCTGTTAACAATTTACTTGCCGTACCCACTATAAGTCAACTAGCAAGACGCACAAGCAATTTTTCACACTCCCGTGTTTACCCCCTCCGCATTAAGTTTGGTTTCAAAGCGCTTAGACTTGGCTTGAAACGATCAAAGCTCACTTCAATGCTTCACACAGCCCTTCTCTAAACTACTACAACCTGAGCTAGAGTAGTCTGGTGAACTGAGGGGAAAACATCAGGCACTCACCGCATCGATGTCGCTGACGCCGGCCGATCCCGCAGCTGCCAACCACTGTTGTGAAACGCACCTCCGACGACGTTACGAAGGGCGCCTCGAAATCTCACCGCTGCAACCACTGTTTCGAAAGACGGCGACGCCAACACGGTCCCGAAGGCGCCACTGCTTCCAACTCCGCCGGGAAGGTCACCAGCCGTTTGGTAGCGTATGTTTCTCAGCTCGCGACTGCTTCTGCGCAGAGCTGATAAGACGAGCGGACGAGACGACGGTGAGTTAAACAAGGTTTATGTACAGCATATATACAGAGGCGTTACAAATTCGGCACTGGGGCCGACAGACTCGAAGAGCCGAGCTCTCCTCTCTAACACATAGGTCTGCTCTCAAACGGGTCCGCTCTGACACACATGTCAGCTTTCACCTAGGACCGCCGATCGCGACGCGCCGACGCGTCGCAGGGCTTCTTTTATTTGCACCGGGTCCAACCAAAATGTCCAATCAGAAGCGCCGCTGGTCGTCAGGGCAGACTCCTCCAATGGGGTCGCCGCGCAATGCGTCAGACCCCCAGACATGAAGACGCCAGTTGTTTACTCGACGGGTCGCTTGCCGAGGCTGTCTCACTGCACGTGCACGCCAGAGAGGCGCCGTTGAGTTGTTGATCGCGTCAGGCGTACTGGCCTTGACACAGATTGCCTTTTTCAGAGGCACGGCCGTTCGCTGTGGACTCGCAGGCATAACAGTGGTGACTCTGGCCACAAGGAAGACGACAGCAAAAAAAACGCCTGGCAGCCACATTACTCACGCTAGGTAACAGTAGCGGAAAGCTAACCAGCAGATGTCCTCCTTTCTTTACATTTTCGAGTTACCATCATATTAAAGTTAACCGTTGCCTTGTGCAAAGTGCACCCAAATGGCTAGGAACTAGCTAGATTTTAGAAGCTACCGATGAGGTTACGCGCATCTCTTGCTGAGGCATCTCAACCAATTGACTGACAATCCTTTTTTTTTCTCTTTCTCTTCCCTGTCCTTTCTCTCTATTTTCTATATGCCCCCTTTCTATTCTCCCAGCGTTGGTAGCTAGCCAACCATGTGCCTGGTTAACCACCCTGCCTTCTCTCTTGTTGTTCTTGTCCCCCCCCCCGCACTTTTAGTAGTGCGGCGCTAATCTACAGCAAAAAGTCTATTTGAGAATATATAAGCCGAAGCATTGATTTTGTCTCTCGTACACTTTGGCCCGACATTCCCAAATGAGTGTGAAGGTACATAAAAGCGCGAAACAATTTTTAAAGACGATAGTCCTTCTTGGGGACCTTCGACGGAAACATTTTGGTCTGTCTGTCTGTCTGTCTGTCTGTCTGTCTGTACATTTGTCTGTTTGTCCACTCTTAAATATACCTCAAACTACCGACTCTATCCGCAGCGCCCACCAATGTTGCTCAAGGTTTAGCATTCATTCTTGTGCCATTACCAAATAAAAAGCCATTTTTGCGTATATTTGAGGTACCATGACAACACGTCGATGTTTTGTATGTGTGCCTTTATACTAAAGAAAGCACACACAACTACTTATAAAGAACGTATCGTTAAACACGTTGCACTGGCAGTGCGACGCCATGCTCAAAAAGCAAGTGTTACCAATTCTTTGCTAAAACGAGATGGTGGTGCACCGGTCCGAGCTTTGCGTCCTACACCTTATCGCCTCCGAGAATGGCACGCATCTTTCTTCGCAGGCAAACATGGCTTCTTTTGTTTTCGAAGATAAATGCCAGATGGCGCTCATGTATAACATGCCTCGATGCACTTGTTCGCTTTCGCTGCACGATCGAGGCACTCCAACGAAGCGCCTCCAGAATACCATTCACCGATGTCCTTGCGCAGAACTTCAAATAAATGTTTTGTTCACTCTCTCTGGACGCAAGACCATCGTCTTTCGACGAAATTTGCAGTGTAACATGCAGATCCGGGGCCAACTTTTTTTTTTCGCCACATGCAAGCTTCGCCAACAGAAGGGCATCCTCTTCCATATACGAAGGAGCGCTGTGGTGCAGAATACAAAAAAAATTGGCTCGAATCTCCATGTTACACTACAAATGTCGTCGAAAGACGATAGTCTTGCGTCTAGAGAGAGGAAGAAAACGTTTGTTTTATGTTCTGCGCAAGAGATATAGGTGAATGGTATTCTGGAGGCGCTGCGTGAAAGCGCCTCGAGCGTGTAGTGGAGGCGAACGAGTGCATCGAGGCACGTTAGACACGAGGGCCACCTGGCAGTTATTTTCGAAAACGAAGGCGTGCGCTCCCGCGGAGAAAGATGCGCTCCAGTCTCGGAGATGATAAGGTGTAGAACGCAAAGCGACGGGCAGGTGCCACCAACTTCTCGTCGTAGCAAAGCGTTGGAAACACTTACTTTTTTGAGCATCGCGTTGCACTGCCAGCGCAGCGCGATAAACGCTACAGTCCATATAATTACTTGTGTGTGCCTCTTCTAGTATAAATGCAGACATAAAAAACAGCGACGTGTTGTTATGGCGCCTGAGATATGCGCAATAATTGGTTTTTAATTGACAATCACACAACAATCAACGCTAAACCTTGCGCAATATTGGTGGGTGCTGCGAATGGGGTTGGCCGTTTGGCGCTATTTGGAATATCGATAAGGGCGGGCAAACAGACGATTGTACAAACAGACAGACCAAAGTTTTTTGTCGAAGGTTCCCAAGAAAGACTATCGTCTTTAAAAGCGGGCCACGTCCATGCACCAATGGAAACACGCTCTCTTCGTGCGGTGGGACAGCCTGAGAAGAACCAGCCACGCACCACCATCTCGGAGGCTATGGGGTAACAATCGTGCTTTTAGCATTAATAGCGAGATGGGCTATTGAGCACGCGTCGCCAGATCGTCACGACGCGGCGGCACGCTCTTTCGTCTCCCACGCGTACTGTCACCAGTGGACAGGAAAGAGGGTTGGATACTCACGCGGGCGCGCGCTTGTTTCACGGTGGGAAGGATCTTACGCCTTGGGCTTTCACAGGAACAATTATGTTGTAGTTACCAGGCGCGCAAAGGTCATATCACTCTCTGCATAGTCTCTGTATGTGAAAAGGGTGCATTTTTCAGAGACATTGAAGTCTAATTTGAGACACTTTTTCATGTGAGCAACGCGCGATACGTTTTGATCTACTCGCCATTATTCACTTCATAATGGAAATTGCTGCTATCGCACTTATTGCTTCACCTTTGCTGCAAAGCTGTGACTTTTATTGGACAGCTGGTTCTCTGTTCGCGGCTACTACTGTGCAGTGTAGTTTCCTGTAGTCTGACTTTCTGTTTCCCTACTACAGGTTCAACCCAATAAGAACTTTTATTGTAATAGCAATTATATGGACAGTCTCGGTTGGTTTTGTGCCGTCACCGCCACCGTCATTCAGCGTATATTTATACGTATCCACGTATATGAAAACTCAACAAAAAAAGAAGTCGTCCGCGCTCAGCGCCCAGCTCATCAAAATGCGCTGACGCACTGTTATCTCCTACGTGTACTTTGGCCGCGATGGTGGGGGGGGGGTGAGGGCGTAAATGCTGTGCGCAGAGCCTTATCCTTTGGTTGGGGAGAATCGTGTGCCTTCGGTTTTCGCTGGAATGCTTGACGTGCGTTGCCGGGTCACAAAGGCCACTTCTCTCGCTGCACAGGGCTAATTGCGAAAGAGCGCACTCTCATACACAGCGAAGTTTTAACAAATGGGACACCTAATAGTTGCACTCATCTGAACTTGTCATTGACGTTTCGCGCGTCATTTTTGTTTAAACAGCGCGGTAAGTGTCGAGCGGTAAATGTTGTTAGTTCACTCTCGTCCTGTGTATCTTTTTTTCGTGCATTTTTTGGGGCGTGCCCAGCTCGCTGTGCGTTTCAATTATTTTGCCGTTTCAGCGTTACATTCTGATCGTTGCTATCGCATTCACTGCTGCGCCCCTTGCGAAAAACTGTGACAGCCTTCTGAGGCTGCCTTCTGCTATTTGTCCTTGTCACTACGACGTTAAAGTGAGGGCCCATTTCGTCATTTCGGTTATGTCACGTTGAATATTTTTAATATACCCGGCAATTCAAAAACGCATTCATGTTCTGAATGTACTTTTAAGATACTTCCACACTTCTAAGATACTTTTACACTTCACGCCACGTACTACATGTTGTGGATTGCTACTTATTAGCGTGATTTATTGTTGCTTGACAAAATATTAGACGCATTGTAAAACATACCTTGAGGAAAATTATGGAAGTATGAAAGAATTAGAAAAAAACAGTGCTTTCGTTTCATCAAGAACTACAACAAAGAGAGAAGGGCTAGTTGGTATAGGTATCCATACTGAAGCATCTTGTGGTGTCATGACGCCATTTCTTTTATCAAGATTGGCTGTTATCTAGTTCAGTTCCTTCTAACTGAATGTTTGTAAATCTATGCACCGACTTTTGATATCACCATCCACGTAACGGCCTCCAATTCCTATCGCCGCGCTGTGAGGCACTTTGGGTGTTACGCAAACAGAGTGTACTATAATTATTCTTGTCTATACCAGTGACTTTTATTGCCTCTTAATTGAAAAACACCAGAAGAAGCACAAAGACCCAGAACATTTTTACAATCTCAGGTGGCTCTTATTAATTCTTTTTGTATGTCTTCACATGATGTTTTATGCTTTCATTTCCGCCAGTCTAAATTAGTTCGTGTTCCCATGAGTCATATTCATCAGCGGCTTCTTCAAGCTGATTACAGATTGCTGTTATATTCGAGGCAGCTGCATAAAGAGACAAACGCTTTCAAATAAGCATATTTGGTTAAACACGTGACACTTGTGCGCGCAATTCAAATTGTTGGCAGCTACACAGTGATCAATATTTCTGTTAGTAATAGGTGCACTACTGTAGCAATTTATTTATTTCATGACGTATTCACTTTGACTACGCAATATTGAGCCACACCGATTGCTCGCGTTTCTTGAATAAAACACTGCAGCTCTGTAAGTGAGGACAAAGCTTTCAAGTAAAGATTCGGCCAAATCACCCGGGATGGCGGAATCTGTTTCAAGGGAAGCATTGATGAAGAAGCTGCGGACACACACACTTTTTAAGGGCGACCCTCCAGAAGACTCCAGAAGAAAATTTAAAGATGTACTATAATGATACATGTTTCACGTTGGGCGAGCGTAAAACGTAGTGAAGCTTTACTTACTGAAGTTGACTCACGTAGAACTACCTAGGGCTGGCATCATTAGAATCACAAACGGTATTTAAGCTTACCGCTTTCAGTGTTACTCTTGGCATCGTTACGTAACTGTAAACAAGTACTTATATAGAACATATGCGACGGTTCAACCTAAATGTCTTTGCGTATAAAATTTTACATGTGTCTACCGTCATTTCGTAACATTTTCGTGTACAAAAAAAAACACACCAATGTTACTTTCCCTACGCATGTTTCCCACCAATTTGATTGCAATGGTACATAAAATCTGCCGAGACTTTTTTTCTATGTCTAGATTTTTTTCAGTCGCTATATTCAAACTGGCATATTTTTATGGACACATTTAGTTGGCAGATCAGAAAGCTATGACTAAGTGTCCAAGCAGAAAATTGTGATGCGATGAATTTACTTACTTTCACTAAAATTTTGGTAGCCGCAATTCCCCATGCACTCCAGGCAGTTAAAAAAGCGGTTCTCATTGCCACCGCAGCCACCGTAGTAAAAGACAGAGCAATTACCGGAACTTGAATTGTAGTACCAACGCTGAAGATGAGCCCTACAATTTCCCTTAACGGGTTCTTGAGAGCATATTGAAGTATTGAAAAGAGTCCCACCTGTAAGTTATACGTAGATATTCTGCCTTGAAATGACTCAGCAGTCTCAAGTAACGTCCCACGCAATTTTTGGAGTATTATTTAACCATATACATATGAATAGGAGAAGTTATGTTCATCATTCGTCACACGTAATTACATACATTTACTAGCATTCATTACCACAGGTTTAACCACATACCACCAATTAGGACGTCGTTATTTTTCATGCCACTCCCAAATCTACTTCAATCATATCTAGCAATTGACCAAAATTTGCTGTCTGATTTTTAACACTTTCTGTGTGGCCCATTCTTTACTTTCCGTGTGTATTGGTAGCAGTACTGTGATGAAAATAGGCAGGCTCTATGTTTATTGGTGCAATCTAAAGCTACTCTTGCTTTCATACTAATGCTGAAAATAAGTAGTTCATGTTGAACATACCTGTGGGACATATAGCACATGGTATATAGTTATCCTAACTCACGAAAGAAGGTTCAAAGGCATACTGACAGTATATCAAGGTAAAGGACGATTTAGCAGCTTCACGTTATAAATAATGAGTTTTCAGGGCCTAATCTTTTAGCTGGGCAGTTACTAAGAGTCCAGCTTAAATTAAAGCGGAAGCGAAGATGCAAATGCACCGAAAGCTGAGGACAAGATAATTCTCTTGCATACTATGGAGCTTTGAATCTAAAATAAACACGCTTAAAAGTGTCGCGAACGCAATTCTAAACTTTTACAATGATTAAACGCCGCAACCTAAGGACAAGTTCTCTTCTTGAAAAAGCTCAAGAAGTCAAAACGCTCGCAAGGCTACCTCAGCATGATTCCTGGGGTTACATTGAAATAACTTCCACGATCTTACAAGGCGGTGTCACTTGAAAAAGTTTTTTGTCTTTTCATGCATTTACCATTTGTTGTAGATACTCAACCCCTTTTTCTGTAAAATCGTGTTCTTGTTGTTTTTTTTTGTCATACGAAAGCTTTGTTCAGTGTCAGCGCTTTTTTTACCTTACCATACAGTTTACGTGAGCCTACATTTCCATGCTCTGTGTTTTTTTATTGCGATTTCAATTTGGGCACTTTTGCCTAGATTTTGCCGCTGGCGTCGGCGTCGACGTCATCGTCGATGTCAGGCACCGTATATGTATAGGTATCTATATTTATGAAAACACAAGAAAGAAAAAAATCCAGAAAAAAATTGGCCCGAATCTACGCGTCACACTGTAAATGTCGTCGAAAGACGTCTTGCGTCTGGCGAGAGTGAGCGAAACATTTATTTGATGTTCTGCGCAAGAAAATCGGTGAATGGTATTCTGCAGGCGCTGCGTTAGAATGCCCCGAGCGTGTGGCGGAAGCAAACGAGAGCATCTAGGCACGTTAGACACAAGTGCTATCCGGCAGTTATCTTTGAAAACGAAGGCGTGCCGCCCACAGAAAAAGATGTGCACCAGTCTCGGAGGTGATAAGGTGTAGAACGCAAAGCGACGGGCTGGTGCCACCACCGTGACGTCGTAGCAAAGCATTGGAAACACCTGTTTGAGCATTGCGTTGCACTGTCAGCGCTGCGCGATTAAACGCTACATTCCTTAAAGTTACTTGTGTTTGCCTCTTCTTGTATGAAGACAGACATAGAAAACATCGAAGCGTTGTTGTGGCGCCTCAGGTATGCGCAATAATTGTTTTTTAATTGACAATCGTACAACTATGAACGCTAAACCTTGAGCACTATTGGTGGGCGCTGCGGATGGTGTTGGCCGTGTGGTTCCCTTTGAGGTATCGTTAGGGCGGACAAACAGAGAAATGTACAGGGAGACAGACAGACAGACAGACAGACAGACAGACAGACAGACAGACAGACAGTAAAAATACTCTGGTGCGCTAATTTGACCGTGGGACCGCTGCGTCAGGAAAACGAGGCGTTAACCACTGAGCCACCCCGGAGCACATTCTTCACAGTTCAAACGGCAAGCTACTTATATATACCATTTACCGCTGCTAACGAGCATCTCGGAAGTGGGGGGAGGGGGGATGAGGGGGGATTGTGTTTTGAGCACTACCAGCAAGATGTCGCAATGAGCGCGCGTCGTCACATCGCGCGGCGGCGCCCACTCTAATCTTCTACGCGTACTTTGCCCGGCTTGGAGAAGGGGAGGACGCTTCCTAAAGCGCCTTATCTCGCTGCGGCGAGGAGGGAAGGTCGTACGCCTTGGCTGACCTCGGGCTTTACCTGCAACAATTTTGCTGTAGTTACCGGGTGCAGAAAGATAACTGCAATCATTGCAGTCTCCGTTTGCGAAAAGCGCGCGCTTTTCAGATACAGCAAAGTAAAAAAATGAGACGCTTCTGTACCTGTGAGTACGTTTTGTGCGTCATTTGTGCGTGAGGAACGCCGGGCATGTTTCGATCTGCTTTCCATTCAGCGCGTGACCTTTGAAATTGTTGCTATCGGTTCGGTGCTTCGCCTTTCCGGCAAAGCTGTGACTTTTTGTGCTATTTGCCAAATATGAATTCCTTATGTTGCAGAAAAGTCTCGGATAGCGTCGCATTCTTCTATAACATACAAACATTAGCCACGCCTATCAGGACATATTGTAGGGTACCAAGACTAGACCCATTCTAGAATACTCCTGCAGAGTTGGGACTATTCAACAAAGAGCAAGAATGAACATTTAGAAAAGGTCTACAAGTTAGCTGCTTGTGTGTGTCACACGATGAATGTTCGTTCCTGTCTTTTTTTATACTCTCTCTCCCTGTGCATTGTACATCGACGTGGTTGGTAAGGAAAATCATAAATTAAATAATATATGTGATTAGGTGAGTATACAGTTCATCGCATTTGGGTGGTGGTTAAAAAAAGGTGATGCGTATAGGTTACAGTTTCCGGCATCTCTAAAGCAAGAGGTCTAATTCATTCAATTTATTTTCATGTTCTATATATTATCATCAAGATAAAGAATCTTGTAGCGGTCGCCTTAAGGCTCACTCGCCATTTGTCTGGTGATAAGAATGAAAATAAAACTAAATAGAAAAAAAGTGAATTGTAATACTTTTATAATTATTACTAATGTAGAGAGGAAGAAGATTATGTGTCGCTGTGAGTCACACCTTTAGCAAGAGGTTCCGAAATGCTTGCCTGCAATGGGGAAAAGGTAATTTGGATAAATTCAAAGATTTCGATCATTTGAGCTATTGCTGGAATAAACAGTGGTGTGTATCTCGCCAGTTAAAGTCACTTATACCAGATTGCGCTGTGCAGTTCCTCAACTAAATTATTACCTTAACAAAGCTCGGCTCGAGGCGTCACCGCTATGCATTTGGTGCAACGAAATTGAAACAATTGAACATTTCTTTTTATTCTGTCATCGTTATTCTTATCAGAGAAAAGATTTTTAGTAGCCCTGTTACAAAAGCTAGAAATACAAGTAAATCTACCAGTAATTTTATCACATGGCGGAACTTCATTGGTTACTGCCACAGGGATGTATGCTCCGCTGTGTTTGATTACATCAACGCAACTAAAAGATTACCGTGCTAGTGAACCCCTAACTTTTCAGATCTTTAGTTTATAATTCGTAGTTATGTCTTTCAAAAACAAAAGATGGTTTGACCGCTTGCTCAGCAAATATTTTTGTTTTTTGGTAGCATTATTTTAAGCTACTTTTTCAGATTGGCTTCATTTTCATTTTAGTTTCACTTGAGTATCCTTCCGCCCGGTTCTTGGCCCATCCCCCTTTGTGGGTAAGCTCCATCCATCAGAGGTCGTCAGCATCAGCATCAAGAGGAGCCGAGCGCGAGCTGTTCCCCCGAGCGTTGTGTTTCCTGCGTCAGTTGCTGCCGCCCGCTTTCCGCATCAATAGACCTGCTGTGCAAGTACTACTTGCGCCAATAAACCCGTTTCAGAGTGGTGGAGGTGCGGGGTAACTCAACCTGGAACTCCACAATAAAAAACTACCTGCCATCCCAGACGTGGCTGAAGAAAACACCAGCAAGGTACGACCCAGCCTCCGATGGTCATCGTGCCCACTGCGCTACGCGTGCGCGATCCACCGTTTTTCGACGGTACTGATGAGCAAGACGGGGAAGATTGGCTGTCGACATTTGAAAAGGTAGGCGCAAGCAACAAGTGGGATGACCCTTCGAAGCTGCAATATGTACCCTTCTACCTGAAAGAGGTAGCGAGACTCTGGTTTAACAACCACCACTCGGAATTCGCCACTTGGGGTGCTTTTAAGCTACGCATTACCGATGTGTTCGGTTGACCCGAGATACGCAAGCTTCGCGCCGAACAGCGCCTACGGGGACGCGCACAGCTTCAAGGAGAAGGCTTCACAAGCTACATCGAGGATGTGCTCGACTTGTGCTAGCGCCTTGACCCTTCAATGATCGAGGCAGACAAGATCAAACACATTTTGAAGGGGATAGACGACGACGCCTTCCAGATGCTACTGGCCAAGGGCCCACGTACCATGTCCGAACTCGCCAACTTACTATACTTGGTCACGTTGGGTCAAAGGATAGAATTTGCCCCGACCCAGACAAACTTCGAGCCGTAGCCGACTTTTCGAAGCCGACTTCACTCAAAGAACTTAGGAGCTTCATCGGCTTGTGCTCGTATTTTCGTCGTTTCGTCCGAAACTTTGCAACAATAATAGCCCCACTTACACAACTATTGAATGGTCCAGCTAATCTTTCTAACTGGACCCCGGCATGCGACGAAGCTTTCCTATTACTGTGCCGCCTACTTACGTCCCCACCGATTCTACGCCATTAAGACTCAAGTGCCCCCACTGAAGTGCACACAGATGCCAGTGGCGTTGGTCTGGGAGCAGTACTCGCGCAACGAAAGCCAGGTATTCCAGAGTACGTCGTCGCATACGCAAGCCGCGCACTCACGAAAGCGGAGATGAACTACTCCGTAACTGAAAAAGAATGCCTCGCAATCGTTTGGGCGTTAAGAAAATTTTGTCCTTACTTGTACGGACAGAGTTTCGACGTTGTGACCGATCACCACGCAC